TTCCTTACCAAACTTGAAGACAAAAGCCAGTTCTCTCCAATGGTTGTTAAGAAAAGACAACAAAGATTATTGTTAAGAATTAACAAAATGTCAAGACTACTTTGAAAGACATTTTCATAAAAATGGTAGTGTCAGAAGGATGTTGTAACCATTGTGGTCCAGGAATTATGTGAGACACAAGAATGCATTGTATTCAAAAGCCTAACTTTATTCCAACCATATATTTGGTCCAAATAAAAGATATCAGCACAAAAATTGCATGCATCTTACATTTTAATAAAAAGATATTTATATAAAATGTAAGATTGTTAGGATTTACAGGAACAGCAATGAACTCCTAAAACCCTGGTAAATCTAAATGGCTCTATAAGGAAACTGGCTGACCAGAGGTTAAGATTCTAAGAGTTTTTCTATAATTTCTTGCCACAACAAAGGCAATTATAATTACGCTGCATACTATCCCAGGAGGACACAAGCTAAGGCCCCGGAGCACCCTGCTGTAGCGGTACCTGAGGGAGGGCTGATCCACCTGTAGAAGAAAGAGAAAAGCCCTGGAAGTGTAGGGCATGCTTACCATTTTCAGGAAAAGCGGAGCCAGGCAAGTCATACCGTGACAAACTGCCCACGCAGTTCGCCAGCCATTTTTATTGCTGGCTGGGAGCGGCATTGGCAGATTACATCATCAAAAAATCGCCACCTGGCTGATTTAAAAGCCAGCGGCGAGGAAATGGAGGGGAGAGCAGCAACACTGGAGCCAGAAGGCAAAGCTGCTCCCTAGGCTGCACACAGGCTGTGTTAGCAGCTCAGCAGGGATCTGGACAGAGTCCTGGCAGAAGCGTACAGGATCCATTAAAAGAAGGATCATCCTGGTTTGGCAGGGCAGCCACAGATGATGGCGTCAAGGGACCCTGGAGCCTCAGACACTGAACATGTGAGTGAGTGGGGTGGGCTGAGGCCCCGTACCCCACCTATTCCTTTTTTCTTTCTTAATTTGTCTCGAGTTTTGCAGAGCCCCAAACCAGGGAGAGGGGCCACAAGCAACCTTTCAGGTCAAGGGGAGTTGAGGCAACACAGCAGACTGCTATGCTTCAAAAGAAGACGTGATGTGTTGACGAGGATGGTCCCACATCCTGTGGTTATCCTGTGTGGAGGGATACCAGGAGATGGACGGGGGAAAAAAAAAAAAAAAAGGAGGGCAGGCGACAACATCAGGAGACGGGCCAGCGACCCATCATCTGGCTGTCCTGAGGTCTGGGACATGGCTGGGGTGTAGGGGAGGTGGAGCCCCATGAACACCCACACCCAGTCTGCAAGGAGCCGCGAGAAGGAGCCCCACCACTGAAGAGGAAGTTCCAAGTCGTGGCAGGAGAATATTGGGGCCTCCCTTGGGGTGAATACAGCCCAACACCTAGGCCTCAGGAACACACCCTGTGGCCAGCACCGGGTACACGCTCCAAGGAGGCTAGAGAGCACCTACACAAGGCCAGACGGGTGCAATACTCATTAAACAGAATACATATTCCTGAACCAAAAATGCTACTAGCACCAATCCACAAATGCCTGAACCAAATGGAAGGAGGACAACAGCTCATTACAAATCTATCCAAACAGAAAAGAATCCTATGAAATTATAGGAAGAGGTTTTAATAAAAAAGCATTTTCAAATGAACAAGTGATGTTTTCTTTCTGCCACTATCCAATTTATCTTGTTTTACCCACTTAAGCAAACAACCACCAGACAGCAAGGAGAAAAGGGAACAAGAGAAAAACACTGCACCAAGAAGAAGCAACCTCTCCGTTTAGACAGCATCACCAAGGGCTCCTATACATGTGCAGGAAGGCTGTAATTCCAGCACATTGGAGCAGATTAATCAAGTCTGCTGGTGCGTAGTAATTTGCCATCTATAAATTACTTAAGTTATCTATGCTATGCCAAGACAGGACTTTCTAGTAATGTTAAGTTATTTTGGTCTCCTCTAAGAGCAGAGGTACTTCTAAAGGCATAGCTTTAAAAATCTCCAGAAGCATAAAAAAAAGATTATGGATGAAATGCTCACCGTTTACTGTTTGTGGTCTTTATTTTGTTTGATTTAATTTTTAATTCTTCTTTTCTCTTTTTTATAATAAAAAAGGTCACAATTAAAGACTGAGATCATTTTGCTAGTCTTTAAATCAAGATATCTCATAAAGCAAGGGAGAACAATAATTTGGGCCTGTGGGCCACATGGACAGTTTTGGGGAGCTGCTGGATATCAGTCAGCACTCCCCTCCCCCTGCCAATGCCTGGAGCCCATGCGCCTTTTGCTCCTCCCCACCACTGCCACCAGCGCCCAGAAGCTAAGCACACCCCGGCCTGCCCTGTGCCCACTCAAAACTCACTCCAGACAGAGCGGACCAGCTCCAGACCAGTCAGGACCTATGCACACAGCCCTGATCCCAGCACCGGTCCACCCTGCATGTGCTCCAGACTGAGCAGTGGTGGCAGCCGGGCAGAAGCTGCTGCTGGATGTGGGGAAAAAGCGGCTGCCTACCCCTCACCGCTGCCAGGCTCTTCTTGCTGTGGCCTCCCAGAGGCCGTGCCTGGGTTGCTCTGCAGCCAGACAGGACCAAGGGACCTGCTGCAGGACAGACGAAGTCCCTCTGCAGGCTGTATTTTGCCCACTCTTGCCATAAAGCATGGCAAAGCAGTCATAGTCCAAATTGCCTTTAAGAGAGACAACTGTTTAGATTTGGAAACAATATAACTTTGGAATCAAGTATGAAGGTGAAAACAGAAATAGAACCAGGCCCAAAATAGAACTGGATTTTAGAAATCAAGTTTAACAGAGTCCAGTGCAAGGAGTTGAACTGATTTAGAAAAATGTGTTTTAAGAAAGTAGAATCATTTCATAAAAAATAAAGTTCAATCTTGAAAATGTAATTAAATATTTTTCCTAATAAATTCATTAATCATATAGCTAATAAAAGGAACAATATAGCTAGGTGCCAGACTATTTAAAATATGCTTGCCCCATTATTAGACTAAGATATATATGGGTGTGACAGGTTAAAATTCATATGCTAGAAAAAATGACAAACCCGTATGATGTATTAAACAAATTATTCATTAGGAGTTTAATTAATCCCAACAAAAAACTTTTGATTCCTACTTAAAACAGAGATTAAGTCATAGCTATAGGCTTTATGCTGGTCCTTGATTGGATGAATATCTAGCAGAGTAAAATGGGAACAGTGCAACTGGAGAAGAATTTGCAGATGTGGATAGATTACCAATTCTGTGTAAGAAGCAACAAGAGAGACAGGTGTAATAGTACCACATATATGGTACTTTTGTACCATTCTAATATAAAAACCTTAGTCTGTCTGTCTCTGTCTGTAACGCTCCGGGCCACCTGTGCATGCGTGGCTGAGAGGGTGCATGCTGATTGGCTGTGAGGGCCTGGAAAGTAATGGACAAGGGGCGAGGGAGCCGACGTGCCACCCCAACAGAATCCAGCTAGATCTAGACAAACTACAGAGATGGGCAGGTAAGAATAGGATGGAATTCAATGCAGACAAGTTCAAGGTACTGCGTCTAGGGAGAAGGAACCAGCAACACACCTGGGGAACACCCTTCTTGTCAACACGGTGGCAGAAAAGGATCTTGGAGTCATTGTTGACTCCAGGATGAACATAAGCCACCAATGCAAGGAAGCGGTCAGTAGGGCTAACCGCACCTTGTTGTGTATCTACAGATGCATCACTAGCAGGTCCAGGGTGGTGATCCTTCCCCTCTATGCGGCACTGCTCAGGCTGCAGTTGGAGTACTGCATCCAGTTCTAGGCGCCACACTTCAAGAGAGATGTGGCTAGCATTGAGAGGGTCCAGAGGAGGGCCAATCACATGGTCAAGGGGCAGCAGGGCAGGCCCTACGAAGAGAGGCTAAAGGTCCTGAACCTATTCAGCCTCCACAAGAGAAGGCTAAGAGGGGATCTGGTGGCTGGTCCAGGGGCGACCAGTGAGAATTGGGGGAGGCTGTTCCCCCAGGCACCATCCAGGGTTACTAGGAATAACGGCCACAAACTGTTAGAGAGAAGGTTCAGGCTGGACATCAGGAGACATTACTTTACAGTTAGGGCTGCCAGGCTCTGGAATGGGCTCCCAAGTGAGGTGGTGCTCCTCTCTTACCTTGGGGGTCTTCAAGAGGAGGCTGGACAGATATTTGGGTAGGGTGACATGACCTCGGCACCCGTTCCTGCCTGGGCTAGGGGGTTGGACCTGATGATCTGTTTAGGTCCCTTTTGACCGTAAGCACCATGATACTATGAACAACAGCCGGCAGGGCTGGGGAGGTGGCGGCGAGGAAGGGAGGGGGAGGAGCAGGAAGGTGAAGGGGTTTCCAGTGGTGGCGGCCCCCTGCTGCCACTGTGGCCCCCGCTCTCTCCCCCCAGCCCCAACAACAGCCAGCAGAGGAGGAGGTGATAGGGAGTGAGGAGGGGGGGGGTTGTTGTGTGCCGCTGGGTGTTGGTGGACACTGCTACATGCAAGCTCCCCTCCCACCCTGTTCCTGGGAGCTGGCAGCAGCATGGGGTGGAGCAGCAGGGAGTGGTGGGGAGATGCATGGGGCCGCACTGGGAGCGGCAGGGAGCAGAGGGGGGCCCAGAGTGCTGAACGTGGGGTGTGGGGGAAAAGCAGGGATGGAGACAGTGCGATGGCACCGCGGGGCATCCCACCCACCCCGTCATTCATGATGGGCAGTTTGCAACTCTCTCTCATATGAGATGATGAGCTTACTGAAGTCAGTTATAAACAGGCTACATTATAATAATACTCTTCACTGGGTTCAAATATATCCAATTTGCCCAGTACTCAATCTTATTTTAAAATTAATGGTGTACTGAAAATTAAAGGCACCATGTGAGCTTTACAAATCATATAAAACAAATACGTTCATTTCTAGAAGTCAAACTGGTCACAGCAGTACAATTGTATCACTGTGGGAAATGAAAACATTCATTTACCTTGCCACAGTGAAGTTGTCTGGAGGCAAAAACCGAGCCAGCTGAATAAAGATGTGGTTAAGGGAAGCACAGAATCCACACCATTGCGCATAATAGAGTAGCAAGACATCCTGAAATGTAGAAGGATGAGAAATTCAGTTAGTGACCAGAGTTTACCAGAAAGCAGAAGTAGTCACCAATATGTTAAACAATGCATCTAACCTATACAGAGATGGGGGGAAATGTACACTTGTTGTTTTTACACTCCTGTCCATGAAGCCATGGGCCCAACTCATGGGATACCCCCATAGCTCCTGAAACAGAAGGGAAACAGCTGTTTTAACAATCCTTAGGGGACTTTGACATGAAGAAAACATCCTCACCAAATGTAAATATGGTACAGGTCAGTGGCATCCCCAGTAAAATACTCTGATGCAGGGGACACATTGAGAGTATTTCTAGATAAGACGACGTGGCCACTGTCCTATGTCCTGCTTACTGACGGAGTAGCTCAGAAGTGACAGCCAGGTACAAGTGAGCCTGTAGGGTGTTATAACCTCTGGCTGGGAGCTGGGCCAGTCCATGACTGCTTCATTATGGAGGAAGCATAATGTTAGCATAAAACCATTTTTAAACCTTCAACCATCTCTGCACCAAGATCAGCAAGGACACTGGATCAGGAAGGAATTTTACCCCATGGTCAGCCTGATATGGACTGTGTGGACTGTTGTGTTCTTCTGCATCAGGAAGTGTGGCCCTCATACTGGGATCTCTTTAGCATATTTTAATAACTTCTGCAGCAGCAGGATATTAGCCACCATGGTCCCCCTGCTTTACCTGTGGCAGAGGAGGGTATTATATGTCTTGTGTTGTGTCAGGGTTGACTCTGTAGTTTTGCTTAGAGGTTAAACAGTGGATTTGTATAGGATGGTTTGGAAAGGAATGATCCTGCTCCAGGCAGGGGACTGGACTAGATGCCTCTTGAGGTCCCTTTCAGACCTTCCCTGTGATTTTATGGCCTGGGTCTGATGAATAAAATGAGTAATTTGACTTTTGGTTTATAAGACTGCTGCAAACACAATGCTGTTACACTAATTTGCCAACAAAACATAAGTGGTCCTGTGCTCATTTTCTGTCATCCTCAGCAATGTCCTTATATTAAAAACAGAAAACTAGATCAGACAATCATTTAATTTCCATTAAATAACAACGGAACACTGAACTATATTCTGGTTGTCATGATTGTTCTGCAGCTTTCTATTACTATTTAATGAACTGTGACTATATGCTTTAAATGGGAAATCTACGTTGCAGAAGACAAGCAATTTTCCTAAAGCTAGCCCAGTAGGCCCCAGGGTTGCTGGAAGCTGAACACTATACATGCATTTATTTTCTATAGTGCCAGTGGCCAAGGATTAAATTTAGTCTTTAATTCAATCACTCCTTGAAAAATCCAAGTAATGTGATGCCCTTAAACATGCCACCACACAAAGAATTTCACCCTGTGAAATCAAAATATTTTTACCATGGACTTTTTTGCTATGCACTTTTTAAATACTTCTTTTATTTTGTTTTACAACCTTCCCTCTATTCTATTGCATCTGCTTTCCAGTCACTATTGTTCATCATTTAATTTCTTAATTCCTATAAAAATGCAAATGGCTCCCCCTGCAGCTAGCACACACACTGGTCATATTTGGCACACAGAGGTGCTATATGCTCATCATCTCTTATCTCCTTGAACCTAACACCAGAATATGGTTCTGAATATGGCCCTTGAACTCTTAGTTTTTGACAGCTGCCACTGTGAGAGCCAAGTCAAATTAAAGCCTCTTCTTCTCCAGAAATATATACGTATATTATTTAAAAAAGAGGAATAAGACTCTGAAGGACTACATTTTCAGGTTGTGAGAAAGTTGCACTTGGTATAGCTGAACAAGCAGCCCTCCAGGACTCAGTTAAACTGAATTTTTAGCAGCTTTATGCCAAAATGGGCCCAGGAATTGGGGCCCAGCAGGGAACTGATAACAATGTTTATCACCCAATTAAGAAAACAACAGAAGACCATTACCAGCTACTTGTTGATTCTGCTGTTGGGACAGTAGCCAGCATGTGGTCTTCTAGCTAATACACAGACACATCCTCAGCAAGGCAGAGGAGAGGGGGGAATTCCTACTTAGCCCGGCGAGTGGTAAGGGGCAGGAAAGAAGCACCTCGCAGTCTCTGAAGCTGCCGCCAGGAAGCAGAGGGAAGAGGCCAGCCATGCTGTGGAGCAGAGAGCCCCGCCCAGCCCAGAGAGCAGGCCGAGATGCTGGGAGTGTCTGGTTTATCTTAACCCAGCAAGGGGTCTGGGACAGATACTGCGTAAAGTGGTTTAAGCCAAGTCAGTTAAGTTTGATACTACATTCAACCAGGGTTTTCTCAAACTGGTTTATGTGCACTGAACATCTGTTCTGTTACAGGTTTAAACCAGTTTCTGATCACTTAAACCAGTTTGTGTGTAATGTCTGTCCCTAGCCCAGGTAGCCTGTTATCTACCTCCAGGCATGACTTCCCAGCACCTGTGAAAGGGCAGTGTAATTGCTTAACTGATGAGTCATTAGGCCACCTGCTGTTTTCTTCTTTAACCTATAAGTTATGGGTTCTAGTCCCCCCTCACCCCTCCCCTCCCCACCTCCTTGGTTCTCCCTTTATCCCTTCCCCTCCTGCCTTCCTGTTCCCAAGGCACCTCACCGCATTGCTTCCCTTCCCCACCAGGCCATGCCCCACACTAAATGTTAATGGATAATGCATTCCCCATATAAATATACTTATCATTCAAACATTTAACCTTTCACATCCATACAGGAAACTGAAGTGTGGACTTTATGCAAGAAACATTGTAAGAGCAGGTTTGCTGCTTACTGAGGAAATGGAAAGAAAATTCTGCAGTGATCTGCAGGGAGCAGAACAATGAGCAGGCTCAGCTCTCTAGCTGCAGCTACTCGGTTACTTACTACAAGGAAAGATCTGCCTTTCAAAAACAAGGTGCATATTACATTCCAAGGTGTATTGTATACAAGAAAATACAAGAAGTATTTCCCCCCACTGAGTATTCTTGCTTAGTTAGATACAGAACTAATGTAAACGCATGATCAGAAGAAGCCCTTTACTTTCTGAACAAACTAGAATTGAAGAATGAACCCCTCTAAACTTATCCTTTGAAACGCAAATGATGCCTTGCAGTAACAATTCTCAGTAATGAGCTGTACCTTTTCACTCAAGAACACCACTTCATGAAAGGTACTAGTAGTCACTTCAGTGATCATGCGCTGTACGTGAAAATGGACTGAAGAGTCACCAGCAAGATGTCTTTTTAAGGGACTGTAGATAATGCTGAAGTTTTTAATGAAGTTTTCTAAAATTAAAACAGAATATAAAAAAATTATTCAAACTCCATATACATGTAATATTTGGACTGTCTGCTTTTATTTCAGGATTCAAAAGGAAAAAAAAAGCAAAATTCAAGTATAGTATACATGCCTAAATTTATTTATGGTAATCTGACCTCAAGTTCTGTTTAGCCAACATTTACTCTGCCACCAAATACAGGAATCTGTCTCATCTCTTACTTTTTCTTCTAGCTTCTCCTCACTGATTTCACTGTTCCATTATGGTGCAATATAAATATAAAAATATTTGTCGGAATTTTTCAGAGACTGAATCATCTTTGATTATGTGCAATATCTAAGCTGTTTCATATGTTCCATTTAGATCATGAGCTGTATTCTTCTATGTATAATACTAAGCTCATTCAATAGTTGAGACATGCATTTTATTACATAATGCCAGGGAACACTCAAATATAATAATTAGTCAACTAGAAATTTTCTAGTTTAATAATTTAGTTTCTATTCCACTGTTCTAAAAGTCAGAATTAAATGAATGGCCAAAATCAGAAGGGAAGGCCTATACAGGAGCCTTTTCATATACAAGCAAAACTTGGCTTGTTTCCCTGTGTTAAAACCTGTAAAATTTAGGAAAAAACTGTAACATCTCTTGTTGGGTCAGTACTGATACTCTATTTATATAAGTAGCTTCTAATTTCAAGAATGTTGACATTAAAAAAAGTGGCCCCTTTAAGCAACAATATCCAGGAAGATTTAAAAAAAAGTCTTAGTGATTTGGCTATTCACCAATATTATTCTTTAATTTCTTCAGCAGAATGCAACTATAGCTTTTCATCTTGGGCCAGTGATATGTAAGAATAATGGAAGCACATGTACTTCAGTAACCTGAATAAATTAAATGTGAATATTCAATTATTAATACACAGAAATTCTTCTCTATTTTAAGGCTTTTTCCCCCCCAAAAAAGTGCACTTAATGTACACCTAATTTTTGCAAGCAGTTAACCAGACAAACCATTATTTGCATATGTTCCATAACTTGCATTTGCCATTTGAATCACAGCAAATAAATTCGAACTGCATTCACAGGCTCTTCTAAACAGATGACTGAAGATATGTATTTGCACATGTGCTGGAAAAATATCTAACAGCAGGAAAAAATAACTGAATCAACTTATAAAATTTAAATACAGCTAAGAATATAAAGGAATTACCATCTGAAGTAATACTCTTCAGAGTGCTATACTGATTAAAACATTCTGACAAAATATGCACGTTAAAACTGTCTTTTAAAAAGTCCCAACGACTTAAATTGGATTTTCCACCAAGACTCATTCAGAAGGATATATATTTAGCAAAACAATTGTGTTCAAAAAACTGCAGCTAAAAAGTGATCCCACACAACAGAACTCCATAACCTGATATCAGAGAATACCCAAGGCAATGAAGCTGCCAGGCAAAGAAATTATAATGTAGAAACATGCACTCAAAAATTTCTTGTAACAATAATTTGATTTAAAAAGTCTGTACACTCAACAATGCATCTTGTTTATAATAATAATCTCATTATAACATCTTAATCTCATGTTTATAACTGTTTCAGTAATAAGACAAATTTCAAATTACCAAATTTTGTACTGAGTACAAAGAACTGCATCTAGGAAAGCGATGCAGAAAAGGCCATGCCATACATTAAAAAGGAGGGGACAAACTAAATTCCACTCCCATGGCACCAAGGCATGTTATTAAATTATAGAAAGCTCATAGAAGAAACAACCAGGTTAGAAAAAGGTTTTAAATTGTCCCTGTTTCCAAAGCAGCAAAAACAAGACAAGTACCTTCAGAGATACACCATGAAAAAAATCACATAGTATAAAGGAAAATGATTTTCAGGGTAAGATGTAGAGGCTGAACAATAACTAGACTGTAATTCTCAACTGGGTGTTATGAGATCCTTTATATGGTGTAGTAGCACAGTTAGCACACCCATTCATTAAAACCAGATTTTAACTGAGAATACATAAGATAAGTACAGACAGTCAGAAAGTCCAAAGCTGAATTAATTCAATCTTCACAGGTTGTCTAAGCTGTGTAGACTGAACGGATACTGTCAAAAGCATTCTGAACTGTTGAGGGCTTTCCAAGTTCTCTGCAACAGAAGAATTGCCCTATTCTTTTTACAGTCAAAAAAAAAGTGTAATTAGGTTTGGAGTCAGGTGCCACTAAATTCAGAAAAGTTATGGAAGTGTGCCTTGATCTAAAAAGGTGAGAACTACTGAACTAAACTGATGAGCCAGCAATCCCTATCATTAGGATTTCTGCCCCATTTGCCTGCCACCCCACCCCATCTCAGCACATATAAGAACAGAGGTTGGTAGCCATTAGTGCTACTATGGGACTGCAGCTTCTTCCCCCAGAGCTATTCTATTTTTTCAGGTTCTTAACCTTACTTATGAACAGGGCATCTGAGAACAAGAGAAGAACTCAGTTCCCTGTCCATGAGTAGACAAAGTTATTACACAGCCTGGATGCTGCATTCTGGAAAATAGTAACACACAGAAGGGGCTGGCTCCTGAACTGGAAATAACCATTTTCTGTGCCAAATTAGTTCCATCTAAAAATCAAGCATTTCCATATTTCAAATTTTGAATACAAAATTGTTCCATACTATACCTAGAGTAGATCTTATGATTGCTTGATTCTGATCCAGGACATAGTGCGTCTCTTCTTTCAGGTCAACAATGGCAGCAAATTCCTTAACACGAGCAGCTCTTGAGGCTCCTAATCTCTCTGCATACTTCCAGAACAAATTGGAATCCAGTAGATAGAGATTCAAGGTCTTGTTGGTCCGGCAGCTCAGGCCAGTAATGTTAGTGCCATTAACATGAAGGTCAGGAATAAAGTAATTCCTATCCTCAATGTGAGGAATAGAACTTTGGGCATCATCCTTCCCTTTCTTCCCATGGGAAGAAAATGCTACTTCGAGGTTCTGAAAGATGGTCTTTTTGGAATTACCAAGACTTAACAGACCCCTGTTTACTGTCCTGCAGCATGCAGTGTAGTAGCTGAAAGGACTGTAGAAACTTAGGAAGTTGCTGCATTCTATGGTATTTGATGCAACTTGAAAAAAAGTACGTTCCTGGAGGTAGAAAGAGTTCAAAGCTGCTTCTATCTCTAAAAAGTTACACTGTGGCACAGTGACTTGACTTGGTTTGACCCCAACTGTCTGGTTGACGCAAAGTTCACAGACATTGTGAGTTCTAGAGATTGAATGCCACTGAGGAAGCACCACTGTGTTACAACATGGGTACTCTGTTATGGAGAACGTTTCTGTCAATTTTGTGCGGGCGTCTGGTACAACGGATCCAAAATCTGGTGAATCAGACTCTCTCAAGTGTTGAGCTGGTTCAGATGCCTGGCTTTTGTTACAATTTTTGTACTCCAAGGCCACTTTGGTTATCTAAAGGGAAAAACATGAATACACACACAGAGAGTGAAAACATATTTAGTTCACTGATAAAATAAAACACACACACAAATACACACAGAGAAAACATCTACCCCAATTTTAAAGAAATGCAAACTGCATGCATTTTTAGGCATGCTGTCCTCCAGTTTCAGAAGCATAGGGTAAAATCTTATTCTTAGATTCCTTAACAGTCACAGAAGGCACTGCAATCAGAAGCAACAAGCCCTACTGAAAAGATCATGCACAGTCAGCTCAAAACTTTCTTTTTACCACCTCCATTAGGGCTCAATAATCCCTTATGATGGCATGTCTATATCTGGCTTCCTGAAATAGCCAATAATTTTTTCCCCATTTCATTTATTTTTCAAAAAAGAGAAAAATTAAATAAAGGCAAAATATACAATGCTGAAGATATTCCATTGTATCATTTTGTCATACGTAAAAACAACAATCAGAGTAATCCAATCTAACTGACTACTAGGATAGGGCCAATGCCTCTCTTCCTGCAGGTAGAACTCTCCTCTGCTGCAATAGTGACATGTTGCTGTGGACTCCAACAAGGAGCATTGCTTCAATGCTAACTGCCGAGTTTGGTCAGTTAAGTCTCTCCTTTTTTCAAACACTACCACTGGAAATACGTATTATTGTTATGTATTTCTGTAGAATCAGCAGAGAGCTTTTTACATTGTGAAAACTAGAGGTGCACCGATATATCAGTCCATATTGGATCGGCACGTGCCCCCTGTCGATTTGTGTGCAGGGGAAGGGCAGGCTGCCCACTGCAGGCTTGGGGTCAAGGGCTGCACCTGCCTCTTCCTGGTGGGGGGACTGAGCCAGGGTTGCGGTCAGGGTGGGTAGGAGGTGGTGGCGCTGGGAGGTGGGGCTACAGAGTGGGCTAAAGCTACCCCCATATTCGCTGTAGCCCCCCTCCCAGCACCGCTGCTGCCTGCTTCACCCCCACCTGCCCCAAGTGCATTCTTGGCCCAGCCCTTCCACTGGGAAGAGACTGGCAAAGCCTCTGGCCCCAAGCCCACAGCGGACAGCCAACCCTCACCCTGCACACAAATCCAGGGAGGGGGGCACATGCCACCCATGCCTCCCTGGGGGTACGTGCAGAAGCAGCAAGCCACCCCCACATCCCCTGACGAGCCATCCGTGGCTGTCCTATGCCACCCTGCCCACACTGCAAAGTGCCTGTCCCAGCCCCACTCCCTCCCCCACTGTGGGGGTCTCAATCTGCCCCCCCACATCTCTGCCCTCCCCCACGCCCCTTTCCCCCCACAGACAAACTAGCTGCACACTTTTCTCCAAGCTGCCAGAATGCATATCAGCTATTGGATCAGTCTCAACTGATATGGCTGGTTAATAAATCGCCCATCAGTATTGCTCAAAAAAATCTTTATCAGTTCACCCCTAGTGAAAACTCCTCCTAAGATTGATATTCAATTCCCCATTATGTGAATTCTTGGGTCTCAGTAATTTATTTTACAGAATCTGAGAACATACCAATATCCTCTATTGTGGATTTGCAGTAGCAGTTACTATTTTCACTTTCTTCATCTTATCTAGGGTGTACTGTAAATTCTGAAAAACCCATCCAGTTGGAAAATTCTAAGATTTTTAATTCATTAGTGTAGCTGGCAATTAAAAAAAATATTTTATACATATTATGAACTGAACTTCAACTTTGGTGAACATGCCACAGGTCCTTTCAATCACTCCCTGTTGTTCTCTGAAGTGCAATAATGTAATTTTACCTGGTGAACTGCCCCTTACAACCAAGATGTGATTTTTTTAGGAAGAAGCTGTGGCACTGGCAAAACAGACTGGTCCCTAGGTTTGAATTTAGTGCCGCCTCCTAGGAATCCCAGGAAATAAATTACATCTATGTGCGGCATTGAATCTTCACAAAACTAAGTAGGCAAACTGTTTTGTGGTTTTTTTTAACCAGAGAGAAATACTGCTTGGATAAAAGGATGAAGAAGATAAATTGGGATGCAACTGGGGGGAGGGATGGGGGGGACACGGACAAATCATCACTAACAAACTAGATAAAAAAGTCCACAGAAAAAGGCTTATATGAAGGAAGAACCAAAGGATTCTCCTCACCCAGAGGAACTTGGTAACCATCTAAGAGAGGTATCTGTGAGAAGAGAAAATCTGCAATATGGAACTCCTAAAGGAAGTATCCCATTCGGAAAACGGGGACCAAAAGTATTTGTATTGGCCTCCCATATACTCTTTGGGTGACAGCAGAGCAACCACTGCCTTAATTCTATTTGTGATCAAAGAGAAATGTAATAATGGTTTCTCTGTTCAAGTTACAAAGAAGGTCCTCAGACTCGGGCTAGGCAGAACAGTATACAAGTGCACAGAATACTAATTCAATTTCCTGTAGTTTAATGGAAAATAAGGTAACAATATTGTCTCTGCCATTTAAAGATTCACTAAAATGAAGAAAATACTAAGTCTTTAGAATGTCTTTGGAAAATTATAACCACTTCCTTTCCTAATGGTCTCTGAAATTAATTTAAAAAATAAACTTAGACTCAATACTCGCCCACATTTTCTTCATGGTTTATGTTACCTTATACAGGAGAAAAACAGAACATTAACTACCCACAAATTTCTTTACTACATACATGAATCCCAGGCTGTACTGGCCTCCCTAGCTATTACAAATAAACATCACTGGGCTACAAATAGTCATAGCACCTCCTCACTGGTATATTCTCATCTTCCAAAGTCAGCCTACTATAACAGAAAGCTATGGAAATAGGAGGAAATCAGACTATTACTGTTATTTTCTTATTGTTGAGAAGGAAACAATTACATTAACAATAAGAAAATGAACACAACCATATGGAATAATACTTCAGTAAGCTGAACTATAATCTTCAATGGAGAATTCCCAGTTAATTCCAGTAGGGAAAACTTAAGATATTACAGCAGATTTCAAGTCCACAGAGATCTACTGTAGGTTGAACCATCAACATAGGGCTTGCTTTGTTTCTAGTTGTCTGAATGCCTGCAGAAGTACCTGGGAGCAAGGAAAAAGAACAAGCCTAGATGCCTGTATTGGGGGACAGTTGCATAGGAACTGGAAGAGAGGAAACAGGAACCGGTCTTGAGGAACCAGGGAATCTTGGAACTACTCGCATAGAAAAGATGAGTGCCACTGGTGGAGGAGGAATGTCCAGGAGAAAAAGGAAACAGGCAGCAAGGAAGTGGCATAGGCAATGAGCAGGAAGAACAAAGCAAATGGGAATGGCTATAAAATGAACAGAAAGAAGCTGTTCCCCAACTCTTCTCCAGTACTGAAGCAACCATGTGTATGCTTTTCCTAGCAGAGCTTTCTTGTGTACACAACCAGTGCCATGAAATGGGAATCTGGTTTACCAAAACATCCCTCTGTTAAGATGTAGTCCCTACTGATAATTGTATAGCATTTAAGAAATCATTATACAAATACCTGTTCGTAAAAATGGCAGATTAAATACTGTAAACATTTGTTCCCTACTGCTGTGACCTTTTGTTATATCTGGTTACATTCTTTACAAAGTGCTTGAAAATTATTATTAACTGAAAAAAATCACTTGCATTATAAAATCCTATTTCTATCTGATCTATTCAGAGAAATGTGTAGTTCTCTGAACAATGTTAACATACAATGAATTGACAGCTGCATACTGTGCAAATACCTTACAGGCAAATGGTTTCAGAGCTGAATGAAAGTCACAAAGGCTGCAGTAACCATCTCTCCTTGGTAAGCAAGTTGCATAATATACTACAACTTCTAACTCTCTCTCAAAAGTGCACATATGCAACATTAATCACTAGGTCCTGTATCTGATTTAATGCTTTAATATGTATAACTTTTTTCCTCCTTACTGAGATGAAACCTGAACCCTCACATATTGTATTGATTTTACTTTATCTAAATACAACAGGTAACATTACTATGTTGCATAATGTGTGCCGAATGTTGCTAAATTCAGCTTAGCCTGAGGAGAGTTTGCTATAGAAATCACGCCAGTTCTCATCTAACCTTCTCTGGCAGTCTCTGCTAACGATTTCAAGGAGCAACATAGTAAGAACAATGCGGGGAGAGGGGCCAGAATCAGAAAATGCTGAGTTTTAAATTTAAGATGTCTTTAAATTACTTAATGCCCAGAATATCATGGTAGTTAAATAGTATTGTTACCTTTTTTCAACAGAGGAACTGACTTGCTACATTCATGCAATGAATCAGCGGCAAAAATAAAAGGCAGAATTCAGGAGTTTCTGGATCCCATTTTTATGCTCTGTTGGTTCGACCCTGGCTAAGAACAGACTGTCAAAAAGCCTGAGGCTGAATCGATTCAATCTTTGCAGGTTAGTCTAAGCTGCGTAGCTTGAACCAATAAGCAAGTGAGCAGACATTCATTTTTGACTCAAGAAATGCAGCCACATTTCTGCAGTGGCTCTAGCCAGAAGCCAGGGGGTGCTAGAGCTTGGGCCAAGGCTAGACTGCCCGCCCTGTGAGAGGGGAGGCTTGTGGAGGAGGTACAAAACACCTTGGGATGCTGGGGAACTGAGAGTTAGCTTGAATCTGGCGGGGAACTTGAACAGAAGTTAAACAAAAATGATTTAACCTAAATCAGTTAAGTCTGATACTACATCCATCCAGGTTTATCTTAAATCAGTTTCAGCCATTTTGAAAGTGGTTTATGTGCACTGAACTTCTGTTGTGTTACAGGTTTGAACCAGTTTCCAATCACATATACTGGTTTATTTTGTAATTTCTGTCCCTAACCCCTGTAGCCTCTAGCATTGCAAAAAGCAAACAGTGGCAATTGGTTCATTTCTCTTGCACAGCAAGTAATTTCTTGAAACTTGGGTTAGAAAAATTAAGATGTTAATTCAGGTTGGAAAAAGTGTTCTCTCTGATGAAAGAATTAAATTTACATTTTAAGCTCTTGAATTATCAGAGAGAAAGTAAGGTAAGGTGATCTGAGACTGGAAGGTTGCCGTGGCTTAACATTAACATTAATTCAACTAGTTCAACTTTTCTAGAGTAAATAATTGATGGTAAGTAAAGGACAGACTGTCAGATTTGAGGGAGATCTATAAATGTAATTAAAAATAAATAAAATCAAGGATTCCTGAAAAATACTATCAGGACTTTCTAACTTAAACTAGCATTTCTCACTAGAACATATTAAATTCTAGTTTATACTTTTTTTATACAGGAACACAGGAGTGGAAAGTTCCTCCTCGGTCAGTCCCTATATGCACAGGTACTTCTACAACAGCAACAGAGATTCTGTTTGAAATAGATACTAATACTTGTAAATTCTTTGTGCTCACCACAGATTTTAGAATTATAAAGGATTTTAAGAGGGTATTGTTGCTAGGGATTTCAAGTTCTACAAAAAGGGTGCTCAGTGAACATAATTTCCAATTAAGCTGCTATGGTTTTCTTCTTTGGTGCACAGATTGATGAGAAGCAGTTGGCAAAATCTTTGAAGGTGTGCTCTATTTCTAATTTTCTTAATTTTCAGGTAGAATTCAGCTCAAAAGTTCTTGCTTAGAAGACTTTGTTCTGATCTGGGAAATTTAAGGGTTTCAGATCAAGGACCCATACTAGAGACGGATCTGAGCCAGAGGACTTGATCAGGATCCCAATTTCCATTCAATCTAGGGAAGTTCAGACCCTTTTCTAGCTGTAGGCCTGTGAGATTTTGCCAGGTCATGAAAGGTCTTCTTTTCCAGCTGATTAGATTTTATGGCATCTGCTACTAGTTTGTCTCTAGTGATATCAGCAATTTATTTCATTTCCACCTCACTGATCAGAGAACTGCAGCATTTAGTCTGCTTGTAGAAACTGTACACTTCAGAGCATAGACAATTTCTTGTGATCTATTTTCTGATATCTGTGTGGGTCTTTCTGCTGGCAATAAGGAAGTGAAAAAAACGTTTTACTGTAAGAAGATATAATAGTAACAGTCATAAAACTTGACAGGAGGCTCAGAGACAGGTGTAATATCTGAACTAATTTTATCTCTCTTTTTTAATTTGACTAGAGTTCCGGATAATAAGGTGACTATTTTCAAAACAAACCTGAGAGACATGTGTAGCCACATTTCAAAGGCATAAAATACTCAAATGTTCCATATTTGAATTACTCCAGCTGAGGAGTAGAAAAGATTAAAGATGTGTCTCATCCCCCTGTACTCATCACAGGAAACAAAGAGTGAGGGAGGAGGAAGCACTTCAGAAGTGCTGGCTTTGAAAAACAAATGGAATGAGGCAAGGATTTGTTATGTAGCAAGAAGGAAATCAGGCTGTAAAACAATATACAAATGGTGTAACAATATGCAATTTATACTTCAGCTAAATTTTAATAGTTAATTTAAAAGAAAAGAGAAACTGGGATTTTTTGGCATTCTAAAAATAGAGTTCTGGACACTGGAATATCAAATAAAATCCTGGAATCATCAAGAATGCTCCATGCCACTTGTTTTACTTGACAATATACTTTTTGGGTGTACAGCACTGCCTGCTGGGTAAGCAAATCCAACGCCTCTTGAGAGAGTGATGAACACAGCATTGCATTTGTGTCATACATAGATAGGAGAGAAATTCCACCTACAGGCAAAGATGATGCTATGGATCGAGGTAGGCAAAATATGGCCCAGGGGCCACATCTGGCCTATAGCAGGTCCCTCAGCCCTGCCCAGCCCAAGCATGGGGGGCTGATCCAACTGCCCCTGGGCATGGAGGTGCTGCCTGGTGCACAGCACAGCCCGCCCTATCCCTGCGTGCAGCTCTCAGGCATACCGGGAGCTGTAGTCCATGGGGAGTGATATGGTAGCTGGACTTGGCTTCCTGCCCTCACACTTCTGGCTAGTGCTGCCAGTGTCTCTGTTGCTGCCAATGGACCTGGCCCCATGCCTGTCTGCCCACACCCACCACCAGGACAAAGCAGGTGGACATGATCTCCATGGATCAAAGCAGACAGGTGGGGCCAGCATGAGGCTGGGGTCACAAGGCAGAGCTGCAATCTGCTCACATGTCCCTGAGATGGGCCCCTGCCCACGGAGCCAGTGCCTATTGCAGGGACACATGGGGGTGAACTGCAACTCTGCCCAGGGGTGCCAGCCCCATGTTGTCACCACTCTACAAACCCAGCCCGTTGACATCCTGCTCTCGGACGCCACACCTCATCCACCCGCCCAGCTAAGAGCACCACACCTCTGGATGTCCCAAGCCAGTCTCCATGAAGACCCCACTCAATCACTCTGTCCAGCACCCCCAGCAGTGGGTGCAGGGCAGATGGGCCAGGGGCTGGATAGAATCAATTGGCATTGTCCTGCCTCCCCCACCCTCTGAAGGTGAGGCAAACAGCCATGACAGGGGGCCAAGGCCAGGTCAGCAACACTCCCCCCCACCCCCAACCAGCCCTCAACATCTCACCAAAATTCCTTCACTCCCTCCAACCCAGATTGCCTGCTCCTGCTATGGATGGAGTTATACCCCGCTTCATTCCCAGTAAAGAGAAGTCAATCAAAATAACAGGCCTCGGGGCTTGAGAATAGTTCTGATACACCTGCAAATGTGGAAAGACCCTATGAGGTCCTGGGCACAAGATACCCACTGCAACAGACTTTATGCTGGTGTAGAAAAGGAGCAAACCCCTGTAACAGAGCAACTTCATACAATATGGTACAGAGTTACCCATCAACAAACTGGGGATAAAACTACACTGGTATAAATTATAAGTTATATAAGGTAAAACTGCACACAGATTATACCACTGGCATAATCTGTCTGCACTTTTACACTGGTTTACAAAACTAATGCAACCTGAACCATTGTAAACACCCTGGGAATGAGCCATAAAATGAAGAAAAAGAAGAAGTTTGATTGGAAAATATTTGAGTTAGCAGAGGAAACCTTCAATCACAAATGAAGCAATTTCTAGTGTCAGATGGCAAACTTGATGCTAAATATTACTGAAGCCAACTTTAGAACTGCTAATTGACAATTTTACAGAACTGCCACTTAACCTCGTTTACATGAATACATGTTATTGTAATTCGGTTCAAATAGATTAATCAATGCCTCAAACTATGGACAACAGATAATGGATCATATCAACTTTCTCTCATTAACTTTTTTAATACAACTGGCATTACACTAAATAAATAAAACTGACTTGTCATTTAGCCCATTGAGAAACAATACTCCAAGGAAAAGGAACATTTATTTTAAAAATATATGAAAATAAACTATATAAGCATGCATGGATTTGAATTTTAAAAGTTACAAAAAAACACCATTTTCTAACAAGATATTGCTTTTTAAATATGTGCTAATAAGGCACTCGTGGATTTTCTAAGGGTAAATGTTCTTAAATATTTTTTCATAACAAAGCGGTTGTGCATAATACATCTTTTCCATTTCTAAATGGTAAAAATACTAAATTATGAATTATGAAAATTATCACTGACTATTCTTCTTTCCAAGAGGACTGGGATCTATAATTTTCCATTAAACATTTATACACTTAAAATAACAGGCCAACTACAACCAATCTATATTATTCTGGGATACCAAGTAACATAAATAGCATGTAATCTACACCAGTCTAGAGAGATCTTTACTTGGCTCAAAGCAGAAGTACATTTTAGACGTTATTTACACCTTCCACCCTCCCCTCTCCTCACCTATATGTACATTCACACTGCTAGCTCCATGAGCCTGTGATGTGACTGGGCCCCTCAAGTGCTACCACACAAAAATAAATAATATATCCCACTTACTTCATCTAAAAGAGGATTACTTTCTGCCAAGGGATTAAAGGGTATAAACAATAGAAGTGCTGGTCCTTTCTTTAGTTCATTGTTTAGTAGAAGGCTTTTTCCTCCATGTGGTCTCAGCCAGCGTATGAGCATCTCTCGATTTTCTAGGGCCCATTTGCAAATGTTTTCAGCTGTATAATTCATGACCTCACTGGGATAGATCTTGAAAGGAAATAAAAATCATTATTTGTCATCCTCATTTACTAGACGCACTGCTTACTAAAATATGGTACATAATAATACCTGTTATAAGTCGTAAAAATTACATTAGCAATGTTACAGCACTGATATTACTGATATTTGCTACTGATATTATTTAAAGAGCATTGTCAAACATTGTTATCACGTCATGTAATTTCCTTTGTAGATCTACCTACTTCTCACCAGTATCTGGTGCAATCATGACTCCTCATCCCTAAGTTTTTAAATAACCTCTGCCCCCTGCCACCACAAAATACTTCCCTCAGCGTTTCCAGTTCTCATTTATGACTTTGTGTTTGTCAAAAGCAGATCTAAAGTGACTTAGTTTGTTTCTTCTTACTGTTCCCTACTTCATTTGTTTTCCACTTCTGTATCTAGCAGTTCTGATTGCATTTCAAATTATAATACAATACTCACAAGTGAATTGTTGACATGCCTATGCAGGTACACAGTGCCTGAATGCATCAATGAGACCTCTTTTGCAATCTGTTTATCCGTGATCACTCCAAAGCGTATTGTTCCAAGGTAATCTGAAAGAGCAATTTTTCTGTTTTAATAAAAGAAGACCTGAAATCCTCTTCTTACTCTTTGCTGTAATCTTTGGAAGAACAAAGAATGACAACATCTTACTTTTGGGATGTTTAAGATTAACAAACGATATACAAGTAACATCTCTTGGTGAGAAAGGGTGTATATCCACACATTAATTAGTATACTGAACATACAGAGTCCCGCATACGAGTACAGAATTCCTGCTAAAATAACTGCTGTCAACCAAGACAGATTTTTAGAGAAAACAAGAGACAAGAAACTAAGGCAGCCAATGTCAACTAACTCACTTCTGAACCCAGAATCTCATCACAATATATCACCTGAAAAATTGGGGTCAGACCAGTAAGGGACCTGAAGGATTAGGATATAGTAACTTTCTTTAAATAATGCTTTATACTAGGAACTGCTACTTAATTAGATAATGATATTTCTATAAATGAAAAGCACCATCTCCAGCAAACAGATAAAGAAACTGAGGAACAAAGTAGAAGTGCAACTAATCTAATGTAATACAGCAGGGACAGTGACAAAGTGAAATACTATATTAATTTATTGTATTTGGTTGTAAAATTACATAGTTATTCACAATCAATTTACAGATCTTACATTTAAGTAATCTTTCCACATATTCAGGGAACATTTCAGAGAAAAATCTGTTAGAACAAAAGTCACATTCTGACTTAATGCTACAAATCTGAATAATCAGACCAAAATGTCATCAGTCTGTGAAATGTAGTGATATGGTACCACTGGGATACAAAAGTAATAAGGTACTCTACTCTGCTCCCAGAGCATCCTTTACTCAGAATCTATTTATTCCCATCCTAAGTCTGAAATGTTGAATATAAAGATTTATACAGAGAATAAAGTGATCAGAGGATTATTTAAATTTAACTGCACCATTCTAAAACTAACAGAGATAATTGCTTAACATTTATATTCCAGTCATATACTTTCTATCCACCAGATTGCACTGGAAAGTACAACTTTTTATGCAGACATACAACATACACTACTCTGACTTACACTAGTGCAGTTTTACCCAATTCCTTCAGAAGTCATTCTAAACCAGACTCAGTGAAGTTAACCTGCTGTGGGAATTCACATCTGCTGTCAACACTTTTGTTTACACAGCTGTAAACACGTTGCGTGTCCAGATGCTTGGTTTAGATTTCATTTACATTTGACAGTTTTCCAGAACTGGCATCTCTTCCACTACTTTCAAAATAAAAACTGGGATAAAATAGGGAATTGCAATATTGACTTTAAATCTGCTCCCCATTTCACTACCCACCGAAGAAGTGTGTTCATGCCTGTAAATGAAAAAAGTCTGCTCATAAAATGGCTGAGAAAGGAAGAGAGAGAAAGAGGGGGAGCCATATTGTACCATCAGTTTTGGAACAATAGTTTTCAATCAAATCAACGCAGAGTTCCGTTTAAAATGGATGCTATGGCATTAATTGTTATTCTTCAGGACGTTACTGTCACTTTCTAGAAAACATTTGGAATTACCGTGGTACTTTACTGCATTTGTTGTGAGAAGCAGACACAGAATCATAGAAAATAAGGGTTGGAAGGGACCTAGTCCAACCCCCGCTCAAAGCAGGACCATCCCCAACAAGATCATTTCAGCCAGAGCTTTGTCAAGCCAGGCCTCCAATTATGTATTTGTAATTGTACAATACATTTCCATCCAAATACTGCAACAGGGGGAGATGAGATTAAAAAAAAGGTTCTTTTAAACGACTCAAAGGTCAAATTATAATGGGACATGTGGAAAGGAAACAGAGGGAGGAAAAAATTAGAGGTGCACCACAGTCCATATCATATCATCACCAATAAAAAGAAAATTAACATTATCGGCAATCTGTTTTTCTTTGGCTGATGTGGCCAATAGCGTTGTAGGGCTGGGACAGGTGCTGCCCAGCCAAGGCAGGGTGGGGCACGGGACAGAGCCATAGGCGGCTTGTCCAGGGAGCACAGAGGGGCAAGGAGGACAGGGTGGCTCCTGCCACCGCGTGCACTCCCAGGAGTGACATGGGGGGGCATGTCAACCCCCCTGGATTTGTGCACTAGGCAAGGGTGGGCTTGCCGCTGCAGGCTCAGGGGCAGGGGCTGAGCCAGCCTCTTCCTGGGGGGGGGGGGG